AACAACCAGACATTTCAGTTAAATATTTTTAAGTATATATAATAAATGATGTTTTAGTTTACTTTAAAAAAAGAAATTATGTCCAACAATTTTTTTTTTTTTTGGAACATTATGTCAAATAACCTTAAAATCAATTATTACGAGAATAAATATACTTTCAAAACTACGAACAAGCCCCACAAAAAAGTTTTATTTGCGATAATATCTCTCTCCTTCATAAAGACATAAAGTACAAATTTTGGCACACAGTTTCTGAAAGAGAAAAAGTTTGAGCAAGTGATACCTCCGGTGAAAGTTGAAGGCTCCGAGAAGATAACCTTCGAAACGGCGACGAATGCATTACGGCGAGGCGTCCATTTCTTCTCGGCGTTGCAAGCCAGCGACGGTCACTGGCCGGCCGAAAACGCCGGCCCTTTGTTTTTCCTTCCGCCACTGGTAAGTTTTCTTCGCCGTTTCAAAATCTGCTGCGAATCGTAGATTCAGGGATTAGGGTTTTCCATTTACGCATTAGGAAGAGAGAGACATAGTAGAAATGAGAACTTAATTGGATCTAAGAATGGATTTGGATTTAGGAATCGTATAAGTGAATTTCACTGAAAATCGGAAAATTTGTTGCTCTGATACACTGTGAAGGTGTTTTGTCTTTACATTACGGGACATCTTGATGAGATATTCACTTCGGAACATCGAAAAGAGATTCTCCGATACATCTACTGTCACCAGGTACAGTTTTTCTACCTGTAGCTTTCACCACAAAAATGCATTGTTCAATGGTTTATGTACTCACTCTTTTCATGTCCATAGAAGGAAGATGGTGGATGGGGATTTCACATTGAAGGTCACAGCACAATGTTCTGCACCGCGTTGAATTACATATGTATGCGTATTCTTGGAGAAAGTCCTGATGGAGGCCATGAAAATGCGTGTACACGAGCCAGGAAATGGATTCATGTCCATGGTGGTGTCACTTACATACCTTCTTGGGGTAAAACTTGGCTTGCGGTAAGTATTCAGATCATCTGGTTATATGAGAATGACTAGAAAGGTTGTATTGTAAGCGTCTTGTGTTGCCTACAGATACTTGGTGTATTTGACTGGTCTGGAAGCAACCCAATGCCTCCTGAGTTCTGGATCCTACCTTCTTTCTTTCCCATTCATCCAGGTTTGTTTCTTGACATCTCGACATTCGATTTGCTTCACAAAACTTATGAGATCAAGAAACTAAATGCATCTCGTTGTGGTTTGAGCAAAAAAACTGATTTGGTGTACCATGATTATACCAATGGGGTCTATGAATTAATGAAATCCTACAGCAAAAATGTGGTGCAACTGCCGGATGGTTTACCTGCCTATGTCATATCTTTACGGGAAGCGATTTGTTGGCCCAATAACACCTCTTATTCTGCAACTGCGCAAAGAACTGTACTTACAGCCTTATGAAGAAATCAATTGGAAGAAAATCCACCATCTCTGTGCAAAGGTAAGAATCTTAGGCTGTATATCATCTTTCTTCTTTAGGATTTTCTTTCCTTGAAAAAAGCACAGAGACATTTTCCCTACTTTACCTTAGGAAGATGCATACTATCCCCGTCCCCTAGTTCAAGAGTTGATATGGGACAGTCTTTACATCTTCACGGAGCCTTTCCTTGCACGTTGGCCATTAAACAAGCTTCTTAGGCAAAAGGCTCTTCAGGTGGCAATGAAACACATACATTATGAAGATGAAAATAGCCGTTATATCACCATTGGGTGTGTTCAAAAGGTAAGAACACCTTCCTTACTCTTAAACAGAAAGCGTATAATATCTGGAGTTAACCACTATCTTTTTCCGCAGGTACTATGCATGTTGGCTTGTTGGGTTGAAGACCCAAATGGAGATTATTTCAAGAGGCACCTCGCTAGAATCCCCGATTACTTGTGGGTGGCCGAAGATGGGATGAAAATGCAGGTATGTCCGGGGAGATTGAAAATCCATTTTTGTTATGCTTACTAACCTTGAGTTGGTAAGAAATTTTACCAATTGATTTATGCAGAGCTTTGGAAGTCAACTATGGGATACAGGGTTTGCGATGGAAGCTTTACTTGCGAGTAATCTCTCCAGTGAAATCTCTGATGTACTCAGGAGAGGACATGAGTTCATAAAGAATTCACAGGTTCGATATCCCCTGCAGCATGTACTCTAGAACTTCTAACTGTTTCTTTTGGAGAATGGAACATTTGTTTACAATTTTAAAAAACATTTGAAGGTTAGAGRGAACACTTCAGGTGATTTTAAAAGCATGTACCGTCATATATCTAAAGGAGCATGGACTTTCTCAGACCGAGATCACGGATGGCAAGTTTCAGACTGCACAGCTCATGGCTTAAAGGTAAGCCAACCACTCAAACCGAAGCATTGACATGTTCATTAGTGATCATACCTGCTATTTGTTGGTCTCATAGTGCTGCCTGCTGCTCTCGATGATGGCACCGGACATTGTTGGCCCCAAAACAGACCCAGAGAGACTATATGATTCTGTTAATCTCCTGCTCACTTTACAGGTGAGCAGTATCATCCATAGAACCAATATCTTCAAAGAAATATCCGTTTTCAGGTCGTGACAGTTTGACTTGTTTGCAGAGCAAAAACGGAGGCGTGACTGCCTGGGAACCTGCTGGTGCTCCCCAGTGGTTGGAAGTAAGAACGAAAACCCCTGAAAATGTTTTCAAACAACTAAAAGAGCACTTCTCTAAACGTTTATTTATGTTATTTTGCCTCAGTTGCTCAATCCCACAGAAATGTTCTCCGACATTGTGATTGAGCATGAATACACTGAATGCACGTCGTCTGCAATCCAAGCATTGAGTCTGTTCAAGCAACTCTTCCCAGATCACAGGAAAACAGAGATCACCACTTTCATCAAGAAAGCCGTGAAATACCTAGAAAACATGCAAACGCCTGATGGTTCATGGTACACTAATAATTGTGACTGTTTCCGAAACAGAAATTCTAACAAACCACAGTAGTAACGACCGTTGTTCTCTTTGAAATTTCACAGGTATGGGAACTGGGGTATTTGCTTCACGTACGGTACATGGTTTGCTCTTGCAGGCTTAGCAGCAGCTGGTAAGACTTACAATGACTGTGCAGCTATGCGCAAAGGCGTTCATTTCCTTCTTGCAACTCAGAAAGACAACGGAGGCTGGGGAGAAAGCTACCTCTCATGCGCTGAAAAGGTAAATGGTTAAAAACTTAAAACAATCGATGAAATCAACTTGATGTAGACGAAATCAAACCGGATGCAGATAATTCTCTTGATATATGCAGAGATACACAGCAGAAGAAGGAGAAAAATCAAACCTGGTGCAAAGTGCTTKGGCTTTAATGGGTCTCATTCACGCCGGACAGGTTACATTATTTGTTTCACTATGAATGAAGCAGTTCTAAATCTGACCTTTTTTTTTTCCCAAAACAGGCCGAGAGAGATCCGGTTCCTCTTCACCGTGCTGCGAAACTTATCATCAATTCACAACTGGAGACTGGAGATTTTCCTCAACAGGTAACACTTTCCTATAACCAAATTGGCTAATAGTATGATCTCTAACCATTTCGTTAGATCTTTAGACGGCTTGAGTGGCTAAAGTCCACCATTGATTTGCTAATGGAATTGGAAAGAAGCTAATTGTAGTTTGTTTGATTACTTCTACAG